CGGGTTAGCCAGGATGGTCTCGATCTCCTGACCTCGTGATCCACCCGTCTCGGCCTCCCAAAGTGCTGGGATTACAGGCTTGAGCCACCGTGCCCGGCCAAGCCTCTAATTTTCATAACCCTGTGGCAGGTGGTAGTATCCTCATTTTTACAGATGAGGAAATTGGGAAAGAGATTAACCTGAACAAGGTCGGCCAGTCAGTAAACAGCAAGCTGGCTTAAACCCAGGGGCCTGGCTCCTGTGTTCACACTCCTAATCATGACGTATCTCCTCTGGCCAGGGACAGGGAGCTGAGCAGTTCAATGAGGGCAGGGCCAGCACAGTCAGAGGCCAGTGAGCAGGACTGTGTGCGACAGGGTCAGCAGGGAGATGGCCTGGGTCAGTGTGATTGCAGCAAGGCCATCTGTGACAGAGACGCAACCATCAGAGTGGCCACTCTGATGGGAGCTAGGAATTCAGCCAGCGAGGCTCCCTTCAAGGTTGGGGCCAGTAAGGGGAGGGATGTGGGGTGGCCAGTAGCAGAGGGAGTGGCCTGCATAGTTGAGAGAAGACTAAGCAAATATGCAAATAAATTGTAAATAATCATAGCCAGGTTTCTTAACACCAGAGAATAACTTACAAATATGAAAGGAAGGAAGGCTAATGAGTGATCCCTGGGATGTTAAGCCGGAATCGGGTAAGTCAGAAACTCATGGCTTGCTTTCTTTTTTTTTCCTTTTATTTTTTTGAGATGGAGTCTCACTGTGTCACCCAGGCTGGAGTGCAGTGGCGCAATCTCAGCTCACTGCAACCTCCACCTCCCGAGTTCAAGTGATTCTCCTGCCTCAGTCTCCCAAGTAGCTGGGATTACAGGCACTCGCCACCACACCTGGCTAATTTTTGGATTTTTTAGTAGAGATGAGGTTTTGCTATGTTGGCCAAGTTGGTCTCAAATTCCTGACCTCAAGTGATCCGCCTGCCTCAGCCTCCCACAGGCTGGGATTACAGGCATGAAGAACCGTGCTGGTCTCATGGTTTTAATGAAACAGAAAAGGTATCTATACAAGTATAGACCTATATGCATATATACACATACACATATGTATGTGTGGGTTTAAATATGTCATAGATGCTAGCTTTGTGCACTGAGATCTAGAAACAATGACACACCCGAGGCAACACGCGTACACAGTACTGAAACTCTGGTTTCAATCTCTCCCTATGAAAAGGAGCCAGGGCTCTCTGGAAAAATAGCTCATTCCAAGGCTATGGAAGAGAAAGTGAAAGATGACCCCAGAACTTCCTGTTTTGCCAGAAAGTTAAGACAGTGCTCAAAAAAGGATGGAGCCATGGAGTAGCTAGGGTCAGTACAGCTGGAGGGCCCAGGCCAAGGGTGCAGTCAGGACCTAGGACGTAAGAGGAGCTCAGTAGACAGACAGGTCCTAGGAGGTGGCCGACAGGACAGAGCGGCTGCTTATACATAGGAATATTGTACACATAAATTAATGTATTCAGAATAATGAGCCAAGTTTTTTTGTTTTTCTTTCTTTTTCTTTTTTTTTTAAAGACAGACAGGGTCAGCTGGACATGGTGGCTTACACCTATAATTCTAGCACTTTGGGAGACCAAGGCAGGTGGATCACCTGAGGTCAGGAGTTCGAAACCAGCCTGGCCAACATGGTGAAACCTCGCCTCTACTAAAAATACAAAAAATTATCCAGGCGTGGTGGCGCACGCCTGTAATCCCTGCTACTTGGGAGGCTGAGGCAGGAGAATCGCTTGAACCTAGGAGGCACGGGTTGCAGTGAGCCGAGATCGTGCTACTGTACTCCAGCCTGGGCAGCAAGA